GTAGTTGCTGACTTTCAGATTGGGTGTCTGAGTGAACTTCCAGTTTGTGCATGATGAAGTTATTTCTGTTTCTTAATTTTCCTTCTAACAGCCTGGCCCCTCTCTGTAGGACTGCTGAGGTCCACTCCAGGCCCTGCTTGCCTGGGTATCACCTGCAGCAGCTGCAGAACAGTAAGAGTTGGTACCAGTTTCTTCTTCTGCTATCTGCCCCAGAAGGATACCCACCTAATGTCAGTCTGTTCTCTCCTTTATGAGGTGACTCTGGATATACGGGGGTCAGGAAGGTGCTTGAGGAGACAGTCTCTCCTTTATTGGAGCTCAATGCTGAGCTGTGAGCTCCGTTGTTCATTCAGAGTTGCTGGGCAGGTACGTTTAGGTCTGCTGCAGCAGAAGTCATAAACTCCCTCTTTTTTTTTTTTTTTCCAGGTGCTCTGTTCCAGGGAGCTAGGGCTTTATTTATTAATTTCCATTGTGCTGCTGCCTTCTTTTTTTTTTTCAGGGCTACGCTGCCCAGCGAGGAGGCAGCCTCGTCACTGTCTGCCTGCAGAGGCTTTGCTGAGCTCCTGTGGGCTCTGCCCAGCTGCCATGTGATCTTCCTTGCAGTCCTGTTTATATGGATGTAGTTAGAACTGCCTCGGCAATGGTGGCCTGCCTCTGTAATGGCAGACTCAATCTGTAGTGGCAGGTTGCCTCGGCAATGGCCTGCTGCTTCAGTGATGTTGGACTGCCTCCATAGTGGTGGAGTGCCTCAGTAATGGTGGACCCCCCTGCCCCACAGAGCTGGACCATCCCTGGTTCAGCTGTGCTTGCTGTAAAACTCTCAACCCAGAGCGTTTTCAGTTACTGTTTTTTTTTGGGGGGGTGGGTGAGACCCGCTGATCCTGATCACCTAGCTCCCTGACTCAGTCTTTTTTTTTTTTTTTCGTTGAATGGTCGACTCTCTCCCAGGTGTTCCAGTCGCCTGTTGAAAAGGTGCCAGGATCTAAGTGATTTCCCGTGCGGCGACTTAGCCAGCTGAAACAAGGTGCTGAGATTCCTGGCAGTTTTTTTTGCCCAGGAATCTCCTGGCCTGGCTCCCTATTTCAGTCCCCTTTAAAATCAGATGAATGGGTGATCTGTCTTCCTGTGGCTCCAATCGCCAGCTAAGAGGGCACGCGGACCAGTGTATTTTGTACGGAGAACCGCCACACCAGGGCACCGGCAAAGCAGCCCCGCGGGCCAAAACAGCCGCACTAGTCAAAACAGCCGCACTGGTCACCCATGGGACTCCTCCGCCTGGGAATCTACTGGTCTGTGGGCAATAAAAATCCATTTGGAAATGCGGCATCCACTCACCCTCTGCGCTTTCACTGGGGGCTGCAATCCTGAGCTGTTCCTACTCGGCCATCTTTCTCGCCTAGTTAATTTTTATGGGGTTTCACCATGTTGGCCAGGCTGGTCTCGAACTCCTGAGCTCAGGCAATCCACTTGCCTCGGCTTCCCAAAGTTCTAGAATTACAGACGTGAGCCACTGTGCATGGCCTAGAATTTGTTTTTAACCTGATTAAGGATAGCTGTGAAAAACCTGTATCAAAATTCACATTCAGTGGTGAAACTTTCGCAGTATTCTCTCTAAAGTAGTATTCCAGTTATTATTAATAAGGTTTATATTAGAATGATAGCCAGTGCATAACACACACACAAAAGTTAAAAGCATTAAGAATTAGAGAGGTGTTTTTTAAAAAACTGTCATTATTCACAGGCGATATGATTCTTCATAGAAATCCTAAAAGAATATGGAAGCTTATTAATTAAATTAATATTAATAAGGTGAATAAATGATAAATTTTAAGCAGATTTGCTGGATATAGGACTAACAAATACAATTAATTAAATGTGATATGTCAGCAACAAAAAAGATAGCACTTACAACAACAAAAAGTAAAAAGTACTTAGAGGCAAATCTAAATTTGTGTAACCTTTAAGTAGAAAAATATAAAAATGTGTAAGGATCATTAAAGAAGATATAAGGAAATGGAGACAAGAGACCAGATTATGGATAGAAAGGCTCGGTTTCTTTCTTTTTTTTTTTTTGAGACGGAGTTTCGCTCTTGTTACCCAGGCTGGAGTGCAATGGCGCAATCTCGGCTCACCGCAACCTCCGCCTCCCGGGTTCAGGCAATTCTCCTGCCCCAGCCTCCTGAGTCGCTGGGATTACAGGCACACACCACCATGCCCAGCTAATTTTTTGTATTTTTAGTAGAGACGGGGTTTCACCATGTTGGCCAGGATGGTCTCGATCTCTTGACCTCATGATCCACCCACCTCGGCCTCCCAAAGTGCTGGGATTACAGGCTTGAGCCACCGCGCCTGGCCTTGACTCGGTTTCTTAAGGATGCAATCTCCCCAGTTAATCTGTAAAATTAATGCAATTCCAATAACAAATCTGGAAGAGATTTTTCTGTCCTCAAAAAGCTGATCCTGAAATTTACATAAAACTGATGAGGTGTGGTGGTGCACACCTGTAATCCCAGCACTTCGGGACGCTGAGGCAGGCAGATCACCTGAGGTCAGCAGTTTGAGACCAGCCTGGCCAACATGATGAAACCTCATCTGTACTAAAAATACAAAAATTAGCCAGGCATAGTGGCGGGTGTCTGTAATCCCAGCTTCTTGGGAGGCTGAGGCAGGAGAATTGCTTGAACCCGGGGGGTGGAGGTTGCAATGAGCTGAGATTGCATCACTGCACTCCAGCCTGAGTGACAGAGCGAAACTCCGTCTCAAAGGAAAAAAATAAAAATAAAAACAATAGACTATAAAAAAAAGTGAAAAGTCAATGTGATAAGTCAATGTGGGAAAAGATATTTATAACACATATAACAGGCAAAGCATTAGGATTCAAAATGTATAAAAGATGTCTCCCAGATCAATAAGAAAAAGACAAAACAGGAGAAAATTTGGCAAAACATTAGAAACAGGCAATTCATAATTTAAACATATAAAAATGTCCAACTTTATTAGTAATTAGAGAAATGAAAATTTAAAAATAGAATACTATTTCATATTAGTCAGATTGACAAAAATTAAGAAGTCTGATAGAGTATTAGCAAGGATGTAGAAAAAGAGAAACATTGCTGATATGAAAGTAGATTGGTTCAGCAACTTCAGAAAACAATTTGCCAATATATAGTGAAGTTAAGATGTTCATATCTTACAACGCAGTAATTCCACTCGTAAGTATATATCTGAGAGATACTTCAGACATGTACAATAAAAAAAAAAACACGAATTGTTTTGAGATCTCTCAAAAACATAAATTAGTTCAGATCACTTCCTAGCTCAAAATCCTTCAAGGCTGAGATTAAAATTCAAAGTCCTCACCAGGCCTACAAGGCTTACCAGTTTGCTTCTCTATCTACCTTTCTGGCTCTGCTCTCCCTCTTTCTGTTCCAGCCACGATGAGTTTGCTGTTTCTTGAACAGTCTCTTTTTCACCCTAGGGCTCTTGGACTCACCATTCCTTCACTTCCTCAGTGTTCCCCTACTTTTTATTTTGGCTTGATTTCTGGCTTAAGCGAGACCTCTGTTGACCACCTTTTCCTTCCCTCCCTCCCTCCCTTCCCATCCTCCCTCCCTCCCTTCCCTTCCTCCCTCCCTTCCTGCCTGCCTGGTTCCTTCTTCCCTCCCTTCCTCCCTTCCTCCCTCCCTCCCTCCCTCCCTCCCTCCCTCCCTCCCTTCCTTCCTTCCTTCCTTCCTTCCTTCCTTCCTTCTTCCTGTACATATTAGATGTACATATTTGGGGTACATGTGATAATTTGATACATTCATATAATCAAATCAGGATAATTGCCTTAAATATTTATCTTTTTTTCATTCTAGGAACATGTGAATTATTCTCTTCTAGTTATCTTGAAATGCACAACAGATCGGTGTTAACTATAGTCACTCCACTAATCTATCGAACATCAGGTCTCATTTCTTCTAAGCATGTATTTGTAGCCATTAACAAACGTCTCTTCATCCCCTGCCCTTCCTGGCTTCGGATAACCATGAATCTACTCTCTATCTTCATGAGATACACCTTTGTAGCTCCCACATATGATGAGAACATGTGATATTTGTCATTCTGTGTTTGGTTGCTTCCATCTTTTCTAAAATAGCTGCCAGGACTGCCTCTTCTACCCCAACCCTCCCAGTCCCTTTATCTCCTTTGGCTGGTTTATTTTCCTTCCTGCCTGACATTATATTCTATGTACATTGCTCCAGCATTTACTTCTGTCTCTCCTACTAGACTGTGAGCCTCCCCGGGGTTGAACATTTTCTGTCTTACTCATTGTTGCATTTCCCAGTGTATAAAATTATGCTTGCTTGGCACAGGGTGGGTGCTCAATCACAGCTCTTCCAATGAGTGAATGAATTGATTTGCATGATAGTCAAGATACGTCAATTTTGATGGGAAGGAAACACTTAGATGACACAAAGAGTACTTCTTGGTAAAAACAAAGCCATTAGAGTTATAGATGCATGCAAAGAATTCGAAGAAGATTGGTTCATAAAGTGTAAAAGAATATTCTTCAGAAACAGTTTGATTATGTGAACTAAGTTAATAGATTAAACACAAGTAGATATCTGAGTATTTCATCTATATTCCTATAAGTTTGTATATTCAGGTTGATCAGAAAACTCTTGGGACTGTCCCTTGGGAAACCTTATATTCAGATTGTCTGACATGTTGAGTTGCAGTACGCTGGAGCCTGTACAGTCATTCTGTCTGCCAGGCAGTCATTCCCAAGTACCCAGGGTCAGACCCAGCCCCAGGCATAGGGCCGGGGGTAGCAAGGACATAGAAGGGAAGGGAGTCAGGCACACTGAGCGTCTGCTGTGTGCCAGGAACTCTGCCTGGGTTTCTCTCTCACGAGGGTGACTTAGGAGCACCCCTTCCCGGGCTCAGGCAAGGAGCAGGCCAGGACTCCAGGGCTCTTCAGCTCACTCTGACTTCTCCAATCCTCATTGCCCCTGCAGTTCTCAGAGATGTTCTTTGTGTCCATCTGCACCTCTGAGTTGGCCATGAAGATCTATGTGGACCCCACTGAATACTGGAAGGATGGCTACAACATGCTGGATGTGGTCATCTTCATCATTATGTTTCTCCCCTATGTCTTCCGCAAGTTCCTGGGCAAACAGTTCACTTACCTGCATATCACTGATGGCATACAGTCCCTGCGCATCCTCAAGCTTATCAGCTATAGCCGGGGCATCCGGGTGAGTGCACTGGGGGTGCCATGGTGCTGGGAGGGCAGGCTGTAGGCCCATCTGCCACCGAGACCCTGAGGAAATTATGACTCTACTATTATCTTCCAGTTATTGAGTCCAACATGTGTGGCGGGTTGATCTTTACCAGCGTTATCTCAATCTTAAAATAATTCTAAGAAAGGTATTCTTAGCTCCATTTTACAGATGAAGAAATTAAGGCCCAAGGTCACCCAGCAGTGAAATGTCAGAGCTGAGATTTGAAAGGCGTTTCTGACTCCAGAGGCCGTCTGAACTTTTCCTTTCTCTCATGCTGCAAAGTGCAAAGATTTTCTTATGTGACACATCCTTTGAACTACATGCCCAGGAAGTCTTGGCTTTTTGGTGGTCAAGGCTGCTAGCTGCTTTCCCCAAACAGCTGCAAGTCTGCTGCTGTCTTGCTGGGAATAGTCTCTGTGCTATATTAGGGTGGCTCCGGAAGAGCTACTCCTGCTGAGAAGTCTTCCTGGGTTGCTGAAAACCATGGAGTGACCAACACTTCCTTGACTCAGAAGGCTTCAGAACAAGCCTCAGGGCTGCCCGCCTACCCTGATCCGTGCCCCAGACACTTGTCCTGCACATAGTAGGTTTGCTTGGCTCTGGCCTAAGAGGAACTGGGCAGCCCTCTTCTAGGACTGGATTTCTGCAGATTTCTGGACTGCACATGAAGAGAGCCCGCCTGGATTGTGCTTAAAGAACTTGGCCAAGGCCAGCTGTCATGGGTCCTATATGGGGCTTCCAGGAGAGCATGGCTGTTCCTGTACAGCTGCTCTCAAGGTCGCTCAGCTTGGACCTCAGGTGGCACCAGCTCGTGGGGTGGCCTGGAGGTGGGAGCCCAGCCAGGCCTCTCCACAACCCTTCTGCACAGGCTTTGGGTTCTACCACCCCGTGTTCCTCCCTTCCCGCTCAAAACGCAACCTGCAGACCACATCTCATTACAGCTTTCCTCATGAGGATTTACTGCTTTCATCTTAGTAGTCCTTGGGAAAGAAATCCTGCCTCTGTTTAGTGGGGAGGAAGGCTTAAAAAAAAACAACTCAGCTCTTTTGCAATTAATCCAAAAACATGAATTTTCTCTTCCCAAGGAGAGATGGGAGGCATCTGATGTCATTCACCCCTGCAGGCAGCGCCAGACCGTTCCACATGCAGGGCAGCCCAGGGCCCTTGGACTATCCCTGTTTCCCAGGTTACCCCAAACTGTCCAAACGGTACTGTCTTGTTTCCTAGCTCTAAGGACCTCCTTTCCTAGTACTAAACCAGTGAAGTCTCTGTGCTCAGGGTCATTAGTGGCTGAAGGTGGTGGTATGGGGCAAAGGCCTTGAGAGTTGGTCCCAGCTCTGCCATTTTATCGGAGTATGACTGTGGCCAAGACAGTTTGCTTTTGTGAGCCTCTGACCACTCGTTTTGAAATGGGAAGAATGATAACACCTACCTGCCTTGAGGTTATGTCTGTGAAACGTCTGAGTAGATAAACATCCATTGAGTGTCTACTGCATGCAAGACTCCAGAGCAGGAAGGCTGAATGATAAGGTGCTCCCCAGAAATGGGCAATGTAGTGGGGAGATAAGAAAAATGCCCATTTCACATGGGGCAGGACTGAGGTTACAAGACAGGGAGCTACCTGTGAAGGCAGGGCCGACAATGACCAGGGAGCCACGTTCCTCTCAGCCCTCTCTATTCTCACTCCCAGGGTGTTTCCCCTATTCCTCCTGGGCCTGGAGCAGAGATCATTCAGGGCTGGCCCTCAGCTAAGAAGCAGGAGCAGGACGCCCTGAGATGACCACACAGCTAGGTTGGGGTTCAAGTGGTGTGGTCACCTCAGACCTGAAAGAAGTGACTTAGAGTGTCAGACATTGGCAAAGCACTGTTAGATTGATCCAGCTCTCAATCTGGGCACAGTTCTGATTCACTTCATTAATTCATTAGTTCATTCATTCAGCCAACCAACTAACTGGCATGGCACCAGTTGCTGGGGACAGCTGTGAACTGGGCAGAATGGACCTCTGTCCCTGGAGCCTGCCCAGCCCGGCACCCTCACCTACCACAGTGTCCCTGCCTTGCAGACGATGATCACTGCCGTGGGGCAGACAGTCTACACCGTGGCCTCAGTGCTCCTCCTGCTCTTCCTCCTCATGTACATCTTCGGTGTCTTGGGCTTCTGCCTATTTGGATCTCAAGACACGGGTGACTATGATAACTGGGGGAACCTGGCCGTGGCTTTCTTCACCCTCTTCAGCTTGGCCACGGTACTGTGTTTGGGAACAGTGGTGAGGACAGGGGCCTTGGGAAGGGATAGCCCGGGTGGTGTGAACGTGTGGACATGTGGGGCCTCACATGGGGCTTGCTTCATGTCCAGGTACTCAGCTGGGCCCAGGGAAGCTGAGGTATGTTCCCCATCACAGGCCAGCCCATCACATGGGCTCTGTCGCTGTCTCTAGGCCTATGACTCCTTAGAGTGCTTCCACATGTCTCACAGGGTGATCAAACTTTTCAGAGTTCTCAATGATAATTCATTTGGGTTAAGTTTAATTTATAAATGAAACCCATGTCACGTAGCCTTTTGAGGAACAGGTTGTCACAAATCCACGTAGAAGAAGCATGCAAAACTCAAATCTAGATTTCTAGATTTGGACTCTGGAAAGAGTGGGATCTTTTTAAAGGTGGGACTGGCAGAGAGGCAGTCTCTTTCTGGGAAGGTTGGGAGGCCTAGAGAAAAGAGACCCTGAGGCATGTTGGTCAGTGGTATCCCCACCCAGGGGTGCCCTGCATTCCCAGGCCATTATGTATGTGCTGGAGCCAGTGGATTGGGAGGTGCTGAGGGACTGACATGGAAGCGGAGCCACCCTCCTCCTCAGTGGGGCTGGGACTCCCCTAGCATAGGTGAAGGTGAAGAGGAGACCTGTGCTGCTGGGCCCGGGGCCCTCAGCATACCCTGCCTTGCCTGAGCAGGTTGATGGCTGGACAGACCTGCAGAAAGAGTTGGACAATCGGTCTTTAGCTTTGAGCCGGGCATTCACCATCGTCTTCATCTTGCTCGCCTCTTTCATCTTCCTCAACATGTTCGTGGGTGTGATGATCATGCACACAGAGGTGAGGCCATGGCTGTGAGGATCAGAAGTCAGGGCAGGTGCGGCAGCTGGAGCTATGGGGCAAGTCTCCAGGGACGACCTGGAGCTGTGTCTTCCCAGTGAAGTGGAGTAGAGGTGGCTGGATGGGCTTGTCCCTCACCCGGCCCAATCCTCCTCCCTGAGCCCAGTGCATTTGCCTTGCCTGCTGATGGTGGTCAATAGGATGGTGGGGCTGAGGAAGCCACTGCAGCTGCAGTTGGCAGCTTGAGTGGGGGCTGGTCCTGTGTGGGAGAAGTGATCCTGCTGAGGACCTGAGCAGCAGTGCAAGGCTGGGGAAGAGGAAAGACAGGGCGTGGGCATGCAGCGAGAGCCCACAGTTGACCTCCATCTTCTGACCCTAGGACTCCATCAAAAAGTTTGAGCGAGAGCTGATGTTGGAGCGAAAAACAACAATCATGGAACAGAAGCAGGTGATTCTGCAGCGGCAGCAGGAGGAGGTCAGCAGGCTGATGCACATGCAGGTGAGTGGCCCTACAGGCAGGTGGACAGATGGGTGGACGGATCGTCAGGCTCATGGGATAGCCAGGAGGAGGGGCTGTGAGGCCTAGGTAGACAGCAGGTGGCCTCAGGCGCCTGCAGCCTTAGGTAAGATAGCCGCCTTCCTCCCATATTTTATAGAATCAGCCTTGACTGTCGGCACTTTTGTGTTTCTCTGCACCTTTTGGTGTGTTGAGTGCTGTGATTATAATGTCTCCTGCTATTGGGGGCAGAACTCTGCTGCTGGGCCCTTTGGGGCCAGGCAGTGTGTGCTGAAGCTTCTTCCTGAGAGCTGGTGGGTGCCAGGCAGCCATGGCCCCAGGCCACTGAGTGGACAAGGATGCGGAGGCCCTGATAGGGTACCAAACAACCTTGGTTTTGTCACGTACCTAAAACCCAAACAAGAATGAGCACAGCAGGCTGGAGATTGTCTGTCAAGCATGGTGCAACCATGAGGGAGCAGGGTAAATTTTCCCTCTGAGCCTGAGTGCTCCGAGCCTCCCATGCTGAGCCTCGGGTGCTCTGCTGGGACTTCCTCCCTTGGTGGGTACATCCCTTCTCGACCTCTTCTCTGAGGTGGAGACACACGCCTGTCTTCACTGTGCCCAAGGTTTGTCCAGGGCTCGGAGAGGCTGCGCGGAGCCTCACTTGGACTTCATGTGCCGCCTTCCTCAATGGTGGTCACCTCACTCGGAGGTCCAGGCTCAGAACGGGTCAGGATGAACTTGTGGTCAGGCTGAAGCCTCCTCTCAGGGCCAGGGTCAGGCCTCTGCCTGGGGCCCATCCTGGAGGGTCCTCATGTCTCTGTGCAGCTCGGCTGTCACCTCCTCATCACTGCTCTCTCATTATGCTTTCCTCTCTAGAAAAACGCTGACTGCAAAAGTTTCAGTGAGTTGGTGGAGAACTTTAAGAAGACCTTGCGCCACACTGACCCCATGGTCTTGGATGATTTTGGCACTAGCCTACCCTTCATCGATATCTACTTTTCCACTCTGGACTACCAGGACATGACTATCCACAAGTCAGTTCCAGCCCCAGCCTTTCCTGGTCCCTGGGGCTTCCTCGAGGTCGGGCTGTGTCAGGTGCCCTGGGAGAGTGAGGGGGATGATGGCTGATGTGCTGATAGGCAGTGGGTGGGTGGAACTTGGCTTTCTTGGGGTGCAGGATTCCATGTGTACATTCCATGGGCTGCTGTGTGGACAGGCCGTGGCTGGGGGAAAATCTGCTCCCCCTGCCCTTCCCCAACCCATCTTGACTAGTATGTAAATGCCAGCTCCTTAAAGTCTCTAGGCCTCTCCTCACTCACCCCTTTACAGAGCACAGAGGAAAGACCACTGGGTGACCTCAGCTTCTGGCCTGGTTGTGCCACTACCTTCCTGTGTGGCCTTGAGCACTTCTCTGCCCCTTTCCCATCTGTCACAGGAGGGGCTGCTGGGCTGATTCAATGAAAACCGTGTATATGAAGCTGCGAGCTTGACCTGGCCCAGGACTTGTGCTCAGTGCGGGTCAGCTGGGATTACGAGCAGCCATTATTGAGCAGGAAGGATGTAAGAATCTGGCTGTGGGTGCCAGGGAGCCGCAGTGGGCTCTGCAGCGAGGACAGGTGTGATTAGTCCAACTTCTCAATGAAAGCTGCCTGGAGGGCTTTAGAGCTGGGAGGAACAAAAAGGAAGGCATTGGGGAATGCCCACTTTTGACCCAATATGGGGTCAGTCACTGTCTGGGCACCCCCATGCAGTTACTTCTCTCAGAGCCTAAGAATTTATTTCCAATGTGATATGTGAGGTAAAATCCCCTGCACCAGGGGGCCCCAGGCAGAGTGGCAGATCCAGGATTCCAACCCAGCCTGATCTGGCTCTGAAGTTGTGCCCTTCTTTGACCCAACACCTGCGCAGGTGCTAACGTGTGGTGAGTGGGGCCAGGGGCGCCAGGAGCCTGACCCTGACCTCAGATCCCGTCTCCTCCTGCTCCATTTTTCAGGCTTCAAGAGCTGTACTATGAGATTGCACATGTGCTGGGCCTGATGCTGGAAGACTTGCCCCAGAAGCCCCAGCCCTTGGAAAATGTGGATGAGAAGTAGCTGGGCATGGGGGCACCCATGTGCCGAGGGCCTTGCAGACTGTGACAGATCCCTATTAAACACAGGCTTTCTGAGTTGGCCTCTCCAGAGTGGCTGTGATTATGGCATTTCCCCACCTTTGAGAGTTAGACCTGCATAGGTGCTCATGAAGTTTGATTCCCCAGAGCGAACCCCAGTCCCGCACCACAGGACATGCAGACCTCAGGAGTAGGGAGAGGGAGGCTCAAGACTTGTCCTGGCCAGAGGCCACATCCAGGGGCCATGCTGGCTCTAGGTTCCCTGGACCTAGCAGCAAGGAACTGGGGAAGCTGCCTGAGGACCATAGACCAAGAAGGCCTCCAGCTGTCCCCTGAAGCACATGGTCCGCTTGAGCTGGTGTGGCCCTGCTGATCTGGGTGTGGGTGTTCTCATACTGACAGAGTCACATCTCTCTCTGTGGACCCACTGCTACAGAGACCCCTCTTTGGAAGGCTACTCTCATTTCCCCTAGGCTCACCCCAAGGGGTGCAGCTAAGACTGGCAGGATTCTGTTATATGGGCCTGGAGCTCAATCTGGGGGAGTAGCCTGCTGGCAATGCCAGGGCACTTTGCACAGAGCCTGGGAAGGTGCGGCAGCATCAGCACTTTGGGCTGCTGCCTCGTATGTATGGCTAGGTAGCATTTTCTCTGTCATTCCTGGTCAAATGACTACTAGGGCCACCAAGGTCCTGGCACCTGTCTGGCTTGGCCATGATGGAGCCATCTGAAGGCCCCAGCAGTGTGGGGCAGTGCAGCACAGGTGATACTCCTTGCTCCAGACTGGCCCGCCCAGAGGCCTGGCAGTGCCCACTCCACACCATTGCTGCGGAGTATGCCTGAGGTCTGTCACCTTGGCAGTGCCACCTCAGACAGAGGGGGAGGTATGTTCTGTGACTGGCACCTATAGCTGGGTGCAGAAAGGCCCCGTACCCACACTGGGCATTCAGGTTAGCAGAAAATGCATGGGGTAGAGTGAAGAGCTATGCTGGGGGCTGGGGCTTCCATGACGAGAAACCCATGGTCTCGCCCTGGCCCTCTTGGTGCTCATGGTTGTGTGGGGAAGACAGTCATCCCACCACTTTTCCTGAGGAAGTGACAATAATTGAATTCAGGGTCAGGGGGCTGCGTTGAGAGAATCAGGGCCACGTTGGGAATCATGAAAGCAGTGTGGAAGAAGGATGGCTCTTCAGGGTGAGACCTATTGAGGTGCTGTGGGAGAATCCTCTAAGGGCAGGAATTGCAGCCTGGCCATATCCTACATGGAGACAGCATTGTGTCCATGCCCTGAAGGTGGCCTGGGGTCCATAGGGTGTTTGTGCCCCTCCTGGCAGGGAGAGAGGCTCTGGGTCTGACATGTGCAGGGGATGACTCCAGGCTTCGGCTTCCACGGGTGCTCTTGTGGGTGCAGCCCCGTTAGCAGGGCAGACAGGCCCCAGCTGATGGCTCTAGTTCAGGGCCGGGGCAAAGCAGACATTGCCAGCTGCTCACACAGGGTGTGCCAACATAGCCATGGGAACGCTAAAACATATCCAGCTACGCTCATCAGGAATCCTGGGAATTGCCCTAGGCATCTGAGAGTGAACAAAAGATTTGAAAATTGGCCTCAGTGGGGCAAGGTAGAAAGTGCCATGGTTTTGGAGTTGGGAGACTTGGGTTCCCTAATAGGGAGACCTTGGGCAAAGTGTCTAGTCTTTCAAGCCTCACCTATTTCCTATGAGAAATGCAATGATAAAACTGATTGGCTACAAGGATCAAATCTCCGTAGGCGTGTGAGAAAAGAGGCAGTCAGCTCATGGTTCACCCTTCCTCACTGTCGGCCCTGCACCTCTGCTGGGGGCACCTATAGTGGGCTGTGCTGGACAGGGGTTGAGAGGGGTGAGGTCATCAGGGCAGTGGTGGGAAAAGTATGGAGCTGAGAGCAGGATGCAGAGGTCAGGAACCTGCACGGGGGTGTGATGTGTCCTGAGATGGAGCTGCTTCAGAATGGGCAAAAGGCACGTCAGATCTGGAAGGCCTGGGTCCCATGCCTAGGAAGGCAGCCTTTGGGCACAGCCACCAGAGTGTGGTGTGGGAGGGTGCATTAGTCCATTTTGTGTTGCTGTGAAGGAATACTGGAGGCTGGGCAATTGAAAAGAAAAGAGGTTTATTTGGCTCATGGTTCTGCAGCCTGTCCAGGAGGCATGGCACCAGCACCTGCTTCTGGTGAGGCCTCAGGAAGCTGCTACTCGTGGTGGAAGGCAAAGCGGAGCCAGCGTGTCATGTGGTGAGAGAAGGAGCAAGAGAGAGGGGAGGAGGGCTGCCAGGCTCTTCTAAACAACCAGCTCCCGTGTGAACTAACAGAGTGAGCTCTCACTCATCATGGAGTGGGGGCGCCAAGCCATTCATGAGGGAGCTGCCCCCGTGATCCAACACCTCCCATTAGTCCCCACCTCCAACATTGGGGATCCCATTTCAACATAAGATTTGGAGTGGTGGACACACATCCAAATTATATCAGGAGGCAAGCTGCCTTTAAGGGCACAAGAAGAAGGCTTTTAGAGAGCAGAGAGCTGGTGGGGGCAGAGGTGACGTGCACAGGGCCGGCCCAGCGATGCTGGCAGAGCAACCTGATGGATATTTGGCACAGAGTCCCAAAGCAGCATTTCTGTTTGGCTCTATTCGCCTGCAAAGCAAACACTGGCAGATTGGAATTCCCACTTGGGCTCTCACCAACTCAAACAGGCTTGGCCAAGACCTTTAATTGATTTGCTTGGGGCAGAAGTGGCTCTGCTTACCCACGCCTGGCTGTGGAAAGCAAGACCTTCCTCACTCTCCCCGGACCCTGGGATCTAGTAGGGTTGACCCTGAATGGCTCCTTCATCTCCAGCCTGCCAGCCTGATCGTTTGGGGGCCATAGGGGGAATGCAGAAGACCCGGGGCCGAGTCTTCTGGTCATGCCCAAGCCCTCCCCCAGTTCTTGTGGGAAGGATCTGGAATTCAAGGCTGGAGGTGTTGGGAAGGTGGCCGGATTTTCTTTCTTTAAAACTGCTTTCTGATTCCACCAGCAGGAAGCAGGCCCTGTATTGTGGATATCCAGGCAGTAACTGAGAATATGAATCCTCCTGTCCATTCCAATAGGCCCTAGAAATCGGATTCTGAGATGCTGGAAACTGTGCCCCTTGAGGCTTTCTTTGAATCTTTAGGACACCTCCTAGAACAAACTGGCCTGCAACAGGTCAGGTCTGGCTCTCTGGGCATCTCCACCTGTGTCAGGCTTTGTCCCTGACCCCACATGGGTCTGCTGTGTTGTCCTAAAGGCCCTCAAGAGAGAAGATGGCTCTGAATTCCTGACTAGGCAACTCAGAAAGAAGAGGTGGTTGTTCTGATTGTAGTCACAGGGGTTGGAAAGAGGGAAAGGAGGCAAACGCGATGATGCAAAATCTGTCGACACATGGGCATCCCCACTCTCCCCCATACTGTGCCACAAATAATTTTGTCTGTGTTTGGTCAGCCACAGGCTGCACCTGCCCCAGGTTCTGTCTGACTTTATTGTAGCTCTCTGTGATGTGGCATTAGGGAATGGTGGAAAGCCCGGCCTGCAGAGCTGGAGTGGAGGGAAAGGGGAGTATTTTTGCTTTCTCAGCCAGCTTCATCATTCTCCTCCATGCTGGTTAATCAGGGTAATGGGCAAAACAGAGGGAAAGTTAAAACACCAGCAGGGCTAGATGGATACACAGCAGGGAGCCAGGATGAGGGAGGGACGAAGGAAGCAAAATCTGGGGGCTGAGAGCCTGGGAACTGTGGACAGCAGCTATGACACAGCTGGTGTGTGTGCCCTGGAGAGGACCAAGGAGAGGTTAACTGTCCTGGTGGGTCAACAACAGGATCCCTATGGGTGTTCTCTGAGAGAGGCAAATGATGATTGGAATTATCTTAAAATTATTTTTGGTTGCTGTACCTTTAAAAAATGAAGCCCATGGATAGATTAGACCATGTAGAGTCTGGGTTATATTCGGGTTATATAAAAGATCACCCTGCATAATAGAGACCTATTGGGTTAACAGTGGGAAATGCTAAGAGGGCTTTCCATGGACTGAGCCCTTAGCTGGGATCAGGGGCCTCCAGGTGAAACATACCAGAGGGTGGTGGCACCAGGTATGATTGTTTTCTTCCAAAACGAAACTAAAGTATCAGAAGGGAAGTGTGGAAGAAGCCATAAGGGGATGAAGAGCCTATTTCAAAACTCTTGGGAAACTGCAGAGTGACTGGGGCCTGAGTGAACTGGTGATGGGACCATGGTGGTGTCCTCACAGCAACAGAACCTCACTGTCCTCCAACTTGGCATTTGGGGACCACTGCCCCTGACTTCCTCTCTCTCCAGTGCTACTTCGAGCCTGGGATCGGGGCCTGAGATAAAAAGAACTCTTTAAAACTTGAGGCTGGAGCTGGGCATGGTGGCTCATACTTATAATCTCAGCTGCTCAGGAGGCTGAACTGGATCGCTTGAGGCTAGGAGTTTGAGAGCAGTCAGGGCAATGTAGTGAGACCCCATCTCTACAATGTAAAAAAGAGAAAAAAGAAAAAAAAAACTTGACGCTGGCCCAGAGAAGGAGGGATCCAAACAGAGGTCAGGCTACAGTTTCAGTGGCATAGCCTGTTCTCCTTGCTGACTGTGGAAATACTGCCTTCTGTTTTGCCAGTGTTTCTGTTTATAAGATCTTTTTACATATATGACTTCAATCACCTAACAATGCATATTCCCATTAAACAAGTGGCAAAACTAAGGTTCAAAGAGATGATGTAACCTATTCAAGTTTATACAACTAAGGGGGAAGAGCCGGGATTCACAACCAAATGTGTCTGGCTCTTTAGCCACTCTGCCATGGTGTCACCCAACAATCTTCTGAGGAATTGTCCCCCTTTATAAGCGGAGAAGCCAGCTCTCAGAGACACACTGGGCTAAGGTCATCATTAAAGGGCAGAGTCCGTATTTGAACACAGGTGCCTCTGCACTACTGCCTCATAGCGACCTTGTTCTTTCTTGTTGAAGCAGCTATTTTTTCAACTTTAGAAACCAAGCCATGATTCCCTTCCGAGAGGGGCCTGACTCTGGGAGGAGGTGGGCATGGTTGCTCAGATGGGCCTCAGTTGGCCATTGAGTTCACTGGCACTTTCTCAATCCTTGGTCCAGGCTCTGAAGTTTGCTGGCCCTGGGAGCCCTGGGAGCCCTGGGAGCCTGGAGATTGGGAGGACGGCAGGAAGCAATCAGTGTGTGCAGAGAGGGTGGTGACTGCGGCAGCTAATCAGGAAATTACAGCCTGGGCAGAGAGAGAGGTTTGGCTTAGACGTCGCCTTTCCCTGGGTTCAGTACAGCAGGCCCACATGGAGGCTTGGCTGAGGTCAGGATGTGCTGAGCAGGCGTGAGTGGGTCACAGCAGGCAGGATGTGCCAGCCTGGTCAGTGTCCTGCAGAGCTGTCCGGACACCCCCAAGGCTGGCCTCTGGGGTGGCGACTTGCAGGCAGTTCCCTCTGCCTGCTCTCGCACCCACTCATAACTTGACCCGCAGGAGTGGCAGCTGTGGGCACCTGGAAGGGGTGCCTTGAGAGGCTCTTGGCTGGAGCTTTTTATCTGACCCTTGAAAGGGCAAGTGGAAAAGGAGAGAAAACATTATCAGTGGGAGAAGCCAGCTGCAGAACTGTACATATGTGACACCATCTGCATTAAAGTGAGGGGAAAAAAAAAGGAGAAATAAATAAAACACCACATATAAAGTGGCAGTGAGAGATTTTGTTTTTTTCTCTTTTAGGTGGCAAACATGAAAGATAAAACCTAGGACTGATTGCCCTGGATGTGGAGAATGGACACCCTTGTCCACTCTTGGCAATGCAAATAAGTGTGGCCTTCTCATAAGGCAATGTGGATTAGATTTCATATGTGTGTTTCTAGGGCCCAATCATTCTACTTCTTGAAATTATCCCAAGGAGCTAAATAAATGTCAAATGTACAGAGATGCATGGATAAGGATGTTTACTGTGGCTTATGATAATAGGAATATAAGGAATCACCTAAATGCTTATTGGTGAGGAACTGGTTATGTTATTATGAATCCATAGTTGCGGCCATTAAAAGTAATGATTACTCAATAAGAAAAGATGTTCCTGATATTGTACTGAGTGAAAAAAGTGGCTTTCTAGAGCAGCATGGGATCTGGCATCCTTTATGTAATAGTGAGTGGGCATATAGAATGAATGAGCACATAGACACGTATGTCTGATGAAGGATGTCTGCAGAGATATTCATAAAAATATTCATAGTGGTTTGGGGGATCTTGACTTTTGTCCCCACATTTTTTTGAATGTTTTTCATTTTAAGAATGAGTATGTATTTTATGATCAGGAAAAACAATACTTTTTACCTTGAAAACATTGTATGTGCATCTCCGTGGTAAGTGGAAGGGCATTCTCTGCAGAAGGAACCAAATGCACAAAGGAGAGAGGGCAGGAGCTCACTGAGGGTTTAGGGAGGGCTGAGAAGTCAGTGTGGCTGCAGCCTGTGCTGTGGGATGGGCAGTGGGGGGCACTGGAGGTTGGGGCAGTAGGCTGGAGCCGGATCCTGAGGGCCTTACATCTCAGCAGGGCAGTTTGGCTTTTAAGGGATGGGAATAATGGTAAGTAAAACATTGACCTGGCCAGATTTCATTCCCACTGCCTCTGAGGGTGGCTGTATCCCTCTCACTTGGCATCTAAGGCCCCTCTATTCTCTCTAGTCTGTCTTTTCTTCCTCTTCCCATGTCTCCCAGGGATCCCCTTTGCCTGGCTCAATCTCACCTCTACTCCTGCATACCTATCTGTTCTGTTAGAGGGGGCTGAGTACCAGGCCCCCTCTAACAGGAAGCCTTCCCAGATTGCTCCCACTAGCCTTGATTTCTCCTTTCTCATACTCTCACCCTTGACCTTTCATACCCTACATTGAATCAGACCTTAATGCCTCTACCCATAGATATTTCTTCTAGCACCAGCTGAGGGGGACTATGGACTACAGGATCATCCCTAACACCTGGATGCCAGTGACCAGCCTGCCTGAGATATGCCAGCTTTAGAATCCTGATGGAGGGAGGGAGGGGGAGGACAGCAAAGAGACCCAGCAGTTATTATGTGCATATATGTCACAGGCACAGTGCCAAACACCACGTATAACTTTGCATATTTTCCCCACTTTACAGATGAGGAAACAAGCCCAGAGAAGTTCTGTGACAGTGAATGTGGTGGTGCTGTGAGTTAAACCCAGGCTCTGCCTAACTCCAAAGTTCGTACTCTTAACCTCCATGATCTTGTCTCTGGCCCTTACCTCCCCACACCACCCGAAGGTAGGCTGGGCTGGGTGGGCTGAGGCAGGGCCTTCCTAAGCTTTGCTGGCCAGAGCAGGAGGCTGGTGAAAGCCCAGGACTCAAGGGACTTCAGAGAGGGATGTGAATCCCTCTCACCTAAGGGGGAGCTCCTGACCTGGTGGAGGATCGGGGCAGTGTAGCAACCATGCTGGGGGCTTGGAAGTGCCACCACCCCCAAGGAAGCAAAGCAAGAGATTTCCCTGGGGGGTTGTCTGGAGGGGAGGGAGGCTGGACACGTTGATCAAGAAAGAGCATCTTCACTCAGAAATCCTCCAGCAGTAGGAGGCCAGTGAGATGAAAATGAGTAGTTTTGTGCCCCAGAAGCAACAGCCCACTTGAAAGCAATATTTAGTGGTCACATCCAGGGTCTTTTCAAACCCTGATAGGAAACCTGGAGAGATAGGCAGGTGGGGTCAATGTCTGCTTGACAGAGGGTTACTGGGGCTCTGTGAAGCAAGGTCATGCCCTGGCAAGAGCCTAGCCTACGGGCTAGAATTTGGGCTCCTTGACTCCCCAAGGGGATCATGCCCTCTTCTAGGCCCCTCCACTAGCCTGGGCTTAGTGGATATCCCTGCATTGAGGGGTGGGGTGAGTTTCTGTGAGCCTGGGGGGCTGGGTGGGCCTCAGTAGGCCCACTGTGGGTTCTGGACTGTGGGGGAGTTGAGAGGCATTGGTGGAGTTAACGCAAAACTTGGGAGAAGCCAGGAGTTTACTATGAATTGTGTGTGCCTGTATTCATTCTGGCCTTGGTGACACAATAGGAATGCGAGCTTGGGGGATGGAGGAAGGATCCTTGGCCACACCATGCCTGGGGTGGGGTCTTTTGTGTAAGGATATCCTCTATTGAGTTGCATTTACCCAGACAGGGAGAGAGGTGTGTGTGTGTGCGCGCGCACACGCGTCTGTGTGGGCATGTGTGTGCACGAAGAGGCTGGAGTCTGGGTGGGGATGAGCATCCATCCCAGTGTGTCCTGGAAGTTTCCCAGATAGGCCACAGGAGGGAACAGTTTGGGGAAACCCTTGCTGGGCCCCACCACAGCCTGGCAGGCGGCGAAGTGGCCAGCCGCTTTGTGGCTGCAATGTCTTAGAGAGTTTGCCAAGCACTTTCTGTGAAGTCATTGGGATGTTAAACTCTTGGTTCAATTAAATGGGTTAATAAGTATTGTCTGATTTTGATGAAGACTAATAATATAATGTGATAATAGCAATAATGGTGCTATTAGCTGCGATTATCACTCGTGCCACACTGTCCCGGGCATGGAGGGGGGTGCAGCTTGCATTCCCGCATGCTCAGGCCGCATTTTCCACTCATAAAACCCCATTCTTCAAAGCCTTTCCAGCCCAACTCCCGATATCCATTTTCAGGACAAATTACCAACACTTAAAAAAATTGGTCCATTTTGCGTGAAAGCCAAGTTCAAATTACTGTTACTTTCCCCTTTGTGCTGAAAACTTAAAAAAAAAGGTAGGGGTGGGAGCTGAGGGGGACACAGGGGACAGATAGAGGAGGAGAGGCAGAGGAGGGGGAAAGAGGGCAAATGGTGTATGGATGAAGGAGAAAAAAGCGAGCCTTCTTGTTTCAGTAAAAATGTATTTCTGGAATGATGTTTCAGTTTACTCAGGCAGAAAAATTAGAAATGGTGTGCTTATTAAACAGGCTAAGTAAGCATGACTATTTTTAGTAGTGTAGTAAAACCTTGGTAATTTGGACCTCTTTAATAAAGATTCCATGATCATGTGGGCTGGCAGGCACACACTGTGTGTGTGTGTTGTGTGTGTCAGGGCAAGGTAGGGGTGCAGATGGGTTGCTGAATTGGAGGTTAGGGAGAGGGAAGGGTGCAAGAAGGGACAAAAGGAAGAGGAAAGGACTCCCTCTTAGGAGAACCTGCTTCAAACACTGAACTCTTGCTTAGTAATCAAAGATCATTACAAATTCTTCTCACTGAACACTCTTATTGGCACCTACTTATTTGACATCTGTTCAAAGAAGAATGTATTTGAAAGCAAAAATTTCATTTCTATAAAAATCTGTAAAGATTTACTTGATAGCTGTCATACTGGCCCCCCTCCAGTGAGGCTGCATCCCAGGTAGGTGATGACCGGCACCTCAGTGGGAGGACAGGGGAGTGGGCAGAAGGCTACTCCCTGTCCTGTGGGTCATAGGGTATTTTTTTTTTTTAAATAATGATTATTTTATTTCATCATTGCAAAAGTGATAAATTGTCAGTGCAGAAAAACCTTGAAAGGGAGAAATGTAAAAAATGCTCATTTTCTCCCTGTCAGAGGTAGCTGCTATTAACACTTTGTACAAATCTATAAAATTCTCTGTGCATACATAAGAACAAAAATGATACTGTGCTTAAGACCGTTTCATAGCTTGCTTGTTTAGCTTTTTTGACAGAGAAGCTTGATTTAAAAACAGGGCAATAGTGAATCTATATTTAATTTTATGCTAAACTTACAAAGAAAAGTCATCCATCTCAGGTTGCTCTTTCCTGGCCACAAAGTAGATGCTTGATAAAGGAAGTGTCCTTAATGGAGTCCCACGGCTATGCTGCATAGAAGGATGAAGATTCAGAATGAGGGCCACACAAGGGGCCCGTTATTGCTGGGCCTCCAAGGGGCTGCTGGTTGAAGAGGATTGTAGGGAAAGATTTGCCAAACAGTGAACACAGCCCCTGGGGGTTGTGGGAACCAGCCTCCAAATGCCTCTCTGGGTAATGCAGGGCATAAATACTTTTTGGATAAAATTGAGGTAAAATATACATAACATAAAATCTACCACTAACTTTTGTTTTTGAGACTGAGTTTTGCTCTTGTTTGTTGCCCAGGCTGGAGTGCAATGGCATGATCTCAGCTCACTGCAACCTCCGCCTCCCGGGTTCAAGCGATTCTCCTGCCTCAGCTTCCCAAGTAGCTGAGATTACAGGCATGTGCCACCATGCTCGGCTAATTTTTTGTAGTTAGTAGAGACAGGGTTTCACCATATTGGTCAGACCGGTCTCGAACCCCTGACCTCAGGTGATCCACCCACCTCAGCCTCTCAAATTGCTGGGATTACAGGCGTGAGCTACCGTGCCTGGCCCATTGTACTGTTTTCTGTAGTGACTATACCATTTTACATTCCCACAAGCAATGAACAAGGGTCCCAGTTTTTCCACATCCTTGCCAACACTTGTTATTTTCTTTTAGGATAATAGTTATCCTGATGGGTGTGAGGCAGTATCTCACTGTGGCTTTGATTTGCATTTTCCTAATAACTAGTGATGTTGAGCTTCTTTTCGTGTACTTATTGCCAATTTGTATATTTTGTTTGGAGAAATGTATATTCAAGTCCTTTGC